AACAGTGCGAGACAACAAACTACTGGATTATGTTGAAGACCTGGTAATATAAAAATACTGCCTTGTTCGCGTTGGTTCGGCCAGACACTATAGCTCTCTTTGTGTGTTTTGATTAAAATCCTTTTCAGATTTCCAGTGGAAGGAGATTTGTTTTCTTCATTATTTGTCATTGGCATTTAAGAGCAGCTTTGATCATTATTGTCGACATTTGCAGACTTTGGTATTGGCTCAGTTTACTATGTGTTTCACATGACTAAGTCAGACTCTCTTTGGACCTTCACATGCAACCATACATTCAATAGAAAATAATGCAAAGCTATGAATATCCTACTTCTGCCAGGCATCTCGAATATCCAGGAAGTCCACGCTATTTTTAAAAAGTACTAGAGACGCCTGCGGACAAGGCTAATCCATGAAATATACTCGGTGTTCTTTCAAAGTGTTGATAAGTTCCATGTTAGAAATTTACTTTAATCTGTCTTTTTTATGATGAAATGGAATTTCCTAACTTTGTAATAATTTCGTACTATATTTAACTTTCTCTAAAGTAGAGTATCAAAATAGGGAACTTATAGTCCCCGTGAAATTGTACTAGCCGCGCGTATTGGTGCTAGAGCAGATGTACCTAATCCCTTATCCAAATTGCATCTACCTTTGTTAATTTCCTTAAAAAATCATGTGGTGTCAGAGTGAAACAACAAACTTATATCACGTGACTTATATCACGTGACTTATATCACGTGACTTATATCACGTGACTTATATCACGTGACTTATATCACGTGACTTATATCACGTGTCATCTCGCTTTAGATCGGTCCTAACATCCGCCATATCAGGCAAGAGAAGGTCAACCTAAAGCTTCCTAAAGGGACTCGATTCCCTGTGAAGTGGCACCAGGATTGGGCTTTCTATCCTCATACGAACCAGAAGATGCTAATGGCATCTGTGTCTATCGATGATACAACACGAGAAAATGGTATGACTTTACAGTGGTTTGTTTGTTAGGTTTGGTGGGTGAAGTTAATTAAAAACCCGTGAAATATATATGACACTGATGAACCTTAGTACCATCTAATTGCATTGATCGGCGTAGTCTAACCGGTTAACTGCATTTCTTTCAGGGTGTCTACAAGTTATACCAAAGTCACATAAAGGACCCTTATTCTCACACTTCAAAGATGGMGAATTTGTCGCCGCCATCAACGATGAACGATTCGATCCAAGCTCGACCGTCCATCTTGAAATYCCATCAGGGGGGGTTAGCCTGCATCATACGTTAACAGTCCATGGTTCTGCAGCGAATAATTCTAATCAGAAAAGGCGTTTATTAATTTTCTTGTACTGCAACACTGATGCTTGGCCGTTGCTAGGGGTAACGTCCATGGARTATGGTAAGATTGGACCAGTAGATTGGGACCGGTTTACTTCWACCATCGTTCGCGGGGAAGCGACTCTGTTTCCTAAAATGGAATCGGTGCAAGTTTGTATTCCAGTTCCGTTCGACACGTATGGTTATGTTCATAATAAAGAAACGACGTCAACATCACACAAAGATCCTAAGAATTGAACACRTGCTAATTACACTATTTGAAGCACTATTGTTTAATAATTGTCAAATTATAAAGTTACAGATTTGMATCAGTGTATTGCTCCTTGACACAACCCCCTACTCCCTACTATACGTTGATTGATTTAAGGTTTCAGAATTTTTTATAAAGAATAAAGCCGGTATTTTTCGAAAATTTAAATAATTGTTGTTGAATAATAAAAACAATAGAGCATGTTGAAATCTCGGCATTCTGCAGTGATTGTTGTCCTTGTAATTTAGATGAAACTTAAATCTTCATACACTAGTTCGTTCTCGGGATCCCGTTTCTGCAGGCAAATGTAACAGCATAATGCACTTAATTCAACTACTCTATTTTTAAAATACTTTCATTTTCACGTCAAATCCCGCATGTGTCATTTCAATCCTTTGTTTATTATCATATCATTTGAATTGGACACGTTAAGAAGTAAATTAAGGTTTGAGTATGAAATGCATGCAGAAAAATCTTCTGCAAAATAAGTGCAACACAATGACTTCTTTTCCGCCAATGCCGTTAGGTTGCACACAAGTCGCTTGCTTATTATTGGTGCTTTCGTAGCAGTCAAATGACAAAAGTATTGACAARTATTTTGTGTTGGTATAGTTTTGACAACCGTCTGCATGTCTGCATGACACGGCTTGTTTTCCAAGTTGTTTTTGGAAATCGTTAAAACCATCCATGTTTTATTTTTTTTACTAATGTTCTAAATTATTGGCTATGATAACATACCTATATTTCTCTATATATTGGAAATATGTTTTACCGCATGATTTGTTTTCATATATAGTTATATTATAAGATTAAACAGAATACTACATGGTCGCTTTACGAATGTTATGTTCTCGTGTTGAAAATCTTCTCAACACTCGAAGATAAAATCAATATCTCTGCGCACCTATGCAATATCTTCTATATATGAGAAAGTTAGAACTCAACAGGACGATGGTTGAACTCACTAACTCTCCCAAAGCCAGTAACTGTACAATTCCTGCCAATATTTATAACATAGCTTGGACGAAGGCATGCATACTGGCTAGATGTGCTCATTGAATCTCATGATA